TACAGGATTTTGTTGATTCATTCCGGATTCTATCATCTCCTGCTGTACCATACTTTAATATTCCAGGATCCACTCATTCTAAAAATTCATCACATCAAGTTTTCCTGGCTAATAATCTTGTAAAGTTCCAACTTTTTCATCGCACCGAGTATAACGAACAAAACATGAACGAACTTGAAATATAAGAATTGGAAAGGTAAAAGATACATTCAAGAATGCTATAAACCAAATGCCATCTCAGCTCCAAATGCAAAAGAAGTGATAGCAGTATACCACTTTTGAATTTCTAATGATGATAATGTCAACAGAAAACAATCCTAGTGAGAATAGAAAACTTGAGAGTCAAAAACCAACAAACTTAACTGCCATTGAACTCCAGTTCCAAATACCATCTCCATTAACATGGCAGCAACCTGAAATGACAAAACTAGCATGAACCACCCCGAATGTAGAAAAAAGAGGCATGGAAGGGTGCATCACCTATATTGCTAACGCAATAATACCAAAGAAACAATCGGACCCCAAGTGAAATGCAACCAAAGGGATCCACATTGCAGCACACCATCATCAATCAATGCTTTTCTCCCCGGCCCTCAATACTGGAATTTTTGACTTGTTTGCATCCTCTAATAAGGACTGATCACCAGAGGTTCTACAAAAAGTAGAAAAACAAAATTTAAAAAAACACACACAACCAGACTTCTAAACCATAAATGGAAAAGAAAAATATATAAAAGAAAAAAATTAATCAAATATGATGTCAAGCAGTAACTATGATATGCACAGAGAACTTACAGTTTCTGCTTTTTAGCATTCTGCTTAATGCTTCGTACCATATCCATAGCCATCTTCTGGTGCTCCCTTGTTTGTGAATGCAAGTCCAAGCCTTCCACTGTTTCACAATCAACTTTACAGATCCGACACCACCCCATACTAGCTGGCTTCCTTTTCCTTGAGTGATCAAAAGACTCCAGATCTCCCTGAAGATATCCATAACATCACAAAGTTGAACTTAAAAAACAAATAAAAATAAAGTATCCCAATAGGAGCTCTACTAACATAGTGCATCACTTCACATGCATAATGCAAATGACTGAAGCAAATACTTAACTGTATAAGTTCCATCATTTGGAAATCTCTGAAGTGAAAAGCTGCTTCGAAATCCAGGCTCACCAAGGCGAGGATGATTGGGCTTGTTGCCTCGAAATGACTCAAAGTTCCCGGGCCCAGCCATGTCTCCCATGCGTGAATGACGAGAACCAAAACCCAGAGGTTCTCGCAAGTTGTGAGGACCTAAATGATCTCCCCTCCGAAGATGACCAGGGTGACCATCTTGACCAATAAAATCATTCCTTCTATGATCAACCATTCGCAGATTACCAGGACCCTCAAACTCTCCCCTACGAAAATGACCGGGCAAATTAGAAAACCTACCCTCATGGAATTGATTTCCAAGTGGATCACCAAATCGATGAAACTCCCTGCCATCAAAATCATCAGGGCCAAAGCCTCTAAACCCATGAGGTGGGAGGCCAGGGTAATCTCTAACTGGGCTTCGAGGAGCCAAACCATCCACAAGACGCCGTCCAACAAAATCTGGATGACCATGAGTAGGCTCCATTCTCCCAAAATCTCCTGCATCATTCCCATGCACTGAACCACCAAGACGATAGGGAGACAGGAACCTTGATGGAGCAGTGCCAGCTGCAGGATCTGTATGCGGACCACTATCATACTTGAAGCCATGAGGTGCCCTATCAAATGGCCTTGACGAGTAATTCCCAAATTTTGCAACAGGCTCAGAATCCAGATATGAAGGCCTAGGGAATTGCTTCAGA